TCTTAATTCTGCCAAATTTTCAAGGGAGGTATGTTGGCCTCTACTTGGGTATGGTGAAGATGAATGTCAGAAACTCCGAGCACACAGTGAGAGATGTTTGCCTCGTCGGTCAAAATCTCAGCTGGATTGTGATGTCATTCATGAGGAATGTCACTCAGTCCTGTCTGGGCTCTATTTGGCTGGTCATGTATGGAGATTTTGCATTGGGTGTTAGGGGATGGTGGCCCCTCTTTACAGGAGTTTTGGGGGGCAGTCCTGTAACAAGTGACAAAAGCGTAAAAAAACTGCATAATCCAATCTCACCATTTCTGGGTGATGCCTGAAGCCCTCCTGTTGGATCTTGTATTGTTGTTATTGTTGTCAAGTGCCAACTAAAACCCATTTTACTAAATTCAGTAGATTTAAGAAGCATACTGATTCTAGGAATTTACCAGTTGCAAATTTGTGCAGAAAATGTACAGAAGACTTAAATTTGTTTAATAGGGCATTTTATCAATATTTTCTACCTTATTACAATTTTAGATATTTTTTTGTCTTTGGGAAATAAAAGTTACTGTTTAGAAATTAAGTACATGGGTAATCTTATAAGCCAGGCATTAAAATGGTATTGGGTACTTGATAGCCAATGAAAATGATGTAGGTTCATGATTGCATTGGATGAAAGGTCTGAAATCAGTGAATGGTTAATCGCTGTTACCTTAACAGTTTTTAATATAATTGTCTAACTTTAGTGTTGGGCTCATAAGCACTAGAAATATGACTCATCTTTGATAAAAGTGAATATATATTCAGTACCTGCCATTTGAGTGTTCACTTCTCTCAGAGATTTCATCTCCAAACACTGTTGAGGACTCCCAGAAAGAAGTAGTCTTTTGCAAAATGTTGTATTCTGTGTTCATATGTATGCATGTACATGTACATATATGCATATATATGTGTGTGTGGCCTGTGGTGTGTGTGTTTGGCGTGTGTGTTGTGTGTGTGTTTGGCGTGTGTGGTGTGTGTGTGTGTTTGGCGTGTGTGGTGTGTGTGTGAGTTTGGCGTGTGTGGTGTGTGTGTGTGGCATGTGTGGTGTGTGTGTGTGTGGCGTGTGTGTGTTGTGTGTATGGCATGTGTGGGGTGTGTGTGTGTGGCGTGTGTGTGTTGTGTGTATGGCATGTGTGGCGTGTGTGTGTTTGGTGTGTGTGTGTTTGGCGTGTGTGTGTTTGGCGTGTGTGTGTTTGGCGTGTGTGTGTTTGGTGCGTGTGTGGTGTGTGTGTGTGTGTGGTTTGTGTGTGTGTGTGGTGTGTGTGTGTTTGGCGTGTGTGGTGTGTGTGTGAGTTTGGCGTGTGTGTTTGGCGTGTGTGGTGTGTGTGTGTGTGGCGTGCGTGTGGTGTGTGTGTGTGGCGTGTGTGTGTTGTGTGTATGGCATGTGTGGTGTGTGTGTGTGTGGCGTGTGTGTGTTGTGTGTATGGCATGTGTGGCGTGTGTGTGTTTGGCGTGTGTGTGTTTGGCGTGTGTGTGTTTGGCGTGTGTGTGTTTGGCGTGTGTGTGTTTGGTGCGTGTGTGGTGTGTGTGTGTGTGTGGTTGTGTGTGTGTGTGGTGTGTGTGTGTTTGGCGTGTGTGGTGTGTGTGTGAGTTTGGCGTGTGTGGTGTGTGTGTTTGGCGTGTGTGGTGTGTGTGTGTGTGGCGTGCGTGTGGTGTGTGTGTGTGGCGTGTGTGTGTTGTGTGTATGGCATGTGTGGTGTGTGTGTGTGTTGCGTGTGTGTGTTGTGTGTATGGCATGTGTGGCGTGTGTGTGTTTGGCGTGTGTGTGTTTGGCGTGTGTGTGTTTGGCGTGTGTGTGTTTGGCGTGTGTGTGTTTGGCGTGTGTGTGTTTGGCGTGTGTGTGTTTGGCGTGTGTGTGTTTGGCGTGTGTGTGTTTGGCGTGTGTGTGTTTGGCGTGTGTGTGTTTGGCGTGTGTGTGTTTGGCGCGTGTGTGTTTGGCGTGTGTGGTGTGTGTGTGTGTGGTGTGTGTGTGTTTGGCGTGTGTGGTGTGTGTGTGTGTTTGGCGTGTGTGGTGTGTGTGTGTGGCGTGTGTGTGTGTGGCGTGTGTGTGTTGTGTGTATGGCATGTGTCGTGTGTGTGTGTGTATGGCATGTGGCATGTGTGCGTGACGTATGTGTGTGGTGTATGGCATGTGTGTGTGGTGTGTGTGTGGTGTGTGTGTGATGTTTAAGTGTAAATTGAGTCACCTAATTCTTGCTAGGTTATGGTATTTATTTAAATGGATACAGATCATGTCTAAACTATCTAAATATTGAAAATTTCATGCATCTCTTTAGGTTGCTCAATTGTTTATTTATTTTCAGATTATAACAACAATGGAGGATACTCAGAATCGGCCAGCTGGGAAGAGGGAGTTTCCAGTTATTGCTCCTAAAAGCAGAAGACAAAAGACTACAAGAAAACTTCAGAAAATTAGGTTCAAGAGAAGTTTAAATCCAAATCGTAGCTGGGGGTCATTAGGTAAGGGTAAGGAAAACCATATTTTGTAAAGTGCCATTGTTTTTGTATATGATATTTATACCAGGTCTTGGAATATTGCACTGCTTGGAGCATGAATTATTTCTTTCTTCAATCTGTGTTTGTTCACACAGGGCATGATGTCACCTCTGTCTATGATATGAAACTGGCAAAGCTGAGGAGCAACAACCGAGCCCTTGCAAAAGCTTTAGCATCACAGAAAATTGAAACACAACATTGGTTTGTATTTTTTTTATTACTTTGTTATCATTTAGGGATTTTATATAATAGCTATGGAAGTATGAAATCATATTTGGTTCTATAAGAAAATAGACTTGATACAGACCACTGTCAGTTTTAGCTAAATGTTATCTTGGTTATTATTTTTGTGATACAGACTTTATAGAAGCTGGATCCTATGACTTGATCAGTGCTGTGTTATATATAAGATTTTGTATACTCTGAAATTGAATAATTTATTATTTATTAGGTTGATTTAGTATTTGATGTCTAAAAGTTATATGTTGTGAATATATGAAAAAAATATCAGGTATATTAATTGTATATTTTTCATCATTAATGTATATTTTAACAAAGAGTTCAGTTATTGAAAATTTTCTATTTGTGTTATTTTTGTTATAGGTAGGTATGTTTGATAAGACAATGATTCCAACCACATATAAATCTTTTTATGACAGTTTTAACAGTGAACCATTTTTTTGAACTGCAGGTATAATAAAGTGATTTCACTAAAAGCAGAGTTACAAGATGCCCAGGAGTTACTCCGAAGTGGTAGTTCAGATAATGAGGCAGCAGTTGAACGGGAAGTGGAACAGCGTCTAAGAGTAAGGCAGTTCTTTTTATATTTAGTATATTTATATATACATATAGATATATATTTTAGGAGAGGGTAATGTAGTAATTATTTTTGGTATGGATTGTTATTGATAATGTCTCTTCAAATTTATGTTTTTAACGACTTTTAGGTTTGATTTTGAATATTTCTGAGTATAACAAGTTTAAGAATTTTATTTGTGCTATGATATCATAAGTGATTTTTGAGGTTGATTGAAAATAACCAGTTTCATGTTACCCAATGCAGATGGGAAAATATAGTGTTCACTGTAGATTTCTTTTGTGAAATGTGTCTTTGCACAAGTGCTCAGTTACCAAGGATTCAATTGGTAAACCTCACCTGAGTTCCTTCAATTTCCGGGATTATTTTTTGTTACTAATGCTATCATCAATATCAGTGGTGTTATTGTTATCATAAGCACTATAGTTATTATAATATTATTAACCTAATGCTGTTGGGGATGACATGTATGGATATGCCATGCCCACAGTGATTTAGTTTATTAATTGAGTGTACACATTGAAGGCACAAGTGCTTAATCACCAGTGAGTCATCCACTAGTGTGACCTATCTCCTCTTTTTACTCTTTCCCTTGAGTTTTGGAAATATATATAGAGAGAGTCCTACCAGCAGAGCTTATTATTTTTCCTACTTCCATCCTGACTTGTAAACCTGAGGTTTTATATTTTACCACAAGAATTTCATTTT